AGTTGCGTACCTTAGTTCGATTTGGGGGTTTAGTGTAGACCAAGCCTTATACTCCATTCATCCAATCCACACTTTAACTTGCTGGCAATATCACATGTCCAAAGCATTAAGGGTGAAATCCTGGCCCTATTGAAGTCAGTAAGACTTTTGCCATTGACTTCAGCAGGCCCAGAATTTCACCCCATATTACAAATTACTACTTACAACTCATTCAAGTAGTAATGCAGAAAGGGTTTGACATGTGAGACTAGAGATGTATATGCAATGCATTTCAGGTGTTATCTTGCAAATTTGTATACCTTGTTTATTATTTTGAATCCATTTGGGCTTCTTACATATTGCAAGTATCAGTAATTTTATCATACCATGGTAAAAATGTGTTGAAAGGATTAATTGCCCTACTCATGCTGAAGCATTAGCTATGTTTATACTCAATAAACACTAATAAAAAAATCATTGCATTTCTAAGGACTTGTCTAAATTACCCACTGGATTGACGGGCAGTGATCGATCCAGCGGGGGTCAATTTATCGCATCTAGTCTAGATGCGATAAATCGACCGCCGAGCACTCTCCCATCGACTCAGGTACTCCACCAGGACGAGAGGCGCAGGCAGAATCGACGGGAGAGCGTCAGCCATTGACTTACCGCAGTGAAGACGGTAATAACATAGCTGAAGTAGGCTGACTTCAGCTATGTTATTCACATAGCTGAAGTTGCGTAACTTAGATCCATCCCCCTCGCTGCAGTGTAGACCAGGCCTTAGTGTAGCTAGATAGGACTGAAATTTCAAATGTATATTGGGACAGAACTGAACTTCAAGAAGAAGAATAGAACACTTCTGCACTAAAATGCTTTTTAATATTAATAAAGCCATCAGAAAAATCTACAGTATTAGTATAACCAGCATGATGAAAAATGACTTCATCTTACAGCATGCTGAATTGCTCATTTAATTTTTATGTGTGTTGATTAAGATGCCTTTGGCTGAATTTTATATCGCTTACTATAATGTCTTACCCTTTTCTCCAAAATACATTGAAATAGACAAACCCAAGTTTACCAAGCCATTATGTAAATTATCAGATTGACAACACAGCCCTGATTCCCACCATGCATGTATATTGATATTAATTCCATTTGCTGCAATTAGTTCTATCTTTAAACAAAATTGCTGTTGCATCATAATCTCACCTAGTAGTTTTACTCTTAAAAAAAAAGTAGTAATGCAACTAGTGGTAACACTGTACTGATAATTGTCTTAATTACTATGTTACATGAATGGCTAAGGGAACTGAATGAACTTAGTTGTCTATGCAGAAGAAGAGCACTGAGTAGAAAAACTTACCCAGCAGACAATTTCCCTTTTAGTAGCCCAGAAGGAACTTCAGTTGTACCTGTAGGAAGACATAGAAGCAAGTCTATGGTGAGAAGGACACCACTATTCTGCAATCAACTCAGACATTAAAAAAAAAAAAAAAAAAAGAGAAGAAGAAGAGATAGACCAATATCCCATTGGTCCGAGTGCTACAGTATGCAAGACAAGGGTTGTGGAATTTGGAATTGTGTTGGAGATTTTTGAATTGATAGTGGGCATTGTGCTTGGAGACCTAGTCAAAGGGATGAGATTGCCAGTCTGTTGACATGTCTATTTTGCTGGTAATATAGGAAGGCCACTTTCTTTCCTCCTCCCCACACCATGCCTCAGTTTAGCACATGGGGGCATAAATAGGAGGAATGGGATGAAATCAAGATGTTTTTTGTTCTTTTGAAACCAAAACAGTGACTCAGGTTTTGTCAAACCTGATCAGGGCATTTGATGGCCACTTCTACCTAATATACATTGTTAACAAGTATCTTCATATTGCTGACTGATGTTCAAGTGGATATTTATTGACCAATATTTCCAACTGGTAAAATCTTGGATGACATCTCTTAAAAGAATATAAATTCTGAAGACATTTAAATTATTCTTTGTTCCCCCCTGTAACAGTAGAGCAGAGAACTGCTCTTTTGTTCTGATCTATAATCATATTTGGCTCAGCTATGCAGAGTTAAAGTTTAATTGCAATACAGAGGAACCTTATTCTACTGAATCAATATTATTTAATAATTCCAGGACTTACACATAGTTGGACCCATCTTTTCTATTTCTGAGTTTTATAATCTGGTACCGTATGCTGAACTCATTATGACAACAACACTAATGAAGGGATGTTAAAACACAGCTTTAGAATTCTCTCAGTTGCTCTAGTATTTAACCAACACAATCAGGAGCGCCACCAGCTTTTTTGCCGCCCTAGGTGGTGGAAGGTCCCACCCCCGAAATGCCGCCCCCGACAGAGGCGGCGGAATGTCCCGCCCCCGAAATGTCCCGCCCCCGAAATGCTGACGATGACCGGGGCGGCGGAAGATCCAGCTAAAATTCCCAAATTTTAGCACCCTAGGTGACCGCCTAGGTCACCTAATGGGTTGCGCAGGCCCTGAGTACAATATTAGAAAATGATTGAATACAATTAAATATCCTGAACTAAACTGTAATAAAAGTATCCCTCAAAATGCAGTGGGAAAATTACTGACAAAGCCTTTTAAATAAAAGTACAAACATGATGTTGGACTTCAAGTAAAGAGTCCCCTGAAAACCCATGTTTAAGAAAGAAAAACTTTTAACATTAAAGATTACCATAACTTCCTCATTCAAATAAAAAATAAAGATTATGTTGATACCTGTTTGTAGCAGTGCAAGACTCACCGCTGCAGTGCCTCCTATTGGGAATTAGCTCTGCCAGCCTTGGAACGCCCTCTGCAGGCCGGTGATCCGCCTTGCCGCTGGCCCTGTGTCACACCCTGGACCCCAGTGCCCTTTTACCTGGGATGCTGCCCCCTAGCAGTAACCCCTCAGTCTTAGGGTCTCCCCTCCCCAGGGAACCCCAACCCACTAATCCCACCTCATTTCAGTATAAGGCTACTGCCAGTCATCATCTAGCCCCACACCCTGGGGCAGACTGCAGTATCAGCCTACTCATCACTGGCAAGGTTGGGTTTGGACCTGCTGCCTTGGCCTACCCCTGGGCTGCCATCTGCAACCCCCAGTACCCCTTGGCCTTCTGCTAGGCTGCAGTCTGGGGCTTTCCAGGCTGGAGCTCCCCAGCTTCTCTGTCTTTCCCCAACCCTGCTCCACTCAGGTACGCTGTCTCTAGCTCCCTGCAGTCAGGCCCTTCTCCCTCTACAGGCAGAGGAAGATTATTAGCTTCTGGCTCCCAGCCTCTTATATAGGGCCAGCTGTGACCAGATTGGGGCATAGCCCAGCTGCAGCCACTTCCCAATCAGCCCAGCTTAGCAGCTCCCAGCCACAACCTTCCCCCAGGGCTGTTTTAAGCCCTTCAGGGCAGGAGCGGGGTAACCACCCCGCTACAACGTTTTAGAAATATAAATATTAAGAATTGCTGCATGGTAAAAATAAAAGTTTTGTTAGTTATTCTTGAATAGTTTATAATTATGGATAGTGAATGAATTTGGATAGGACAATATCTATGCCAAGGCTTTGGACTACATTTTGCCTAACATGATGAGCGTTGTCTTGACAATTTTTTTCTTATATAGACTTATGCAGATAATGCTTTGCTTATTGCTGACAATAGAAAAGGGATGTTTTGTTATTGCATTGAAAGATTTAGATAAAAGAAAGTGAATTAGTATACTACACAAAAGGTAGTGCTAAGAGTCCATTTATTGGGAAAAAGAAGCCATGGAAACATAATGACATGAAAATGGGGTAAAAAAACAAAAAAGTTTAAATTGAAGTTTGTAAAACTATTGCATAATGCTAAGTGGAGAAAAGCTAATGATTATATAATGTGGAAAGATATCCCCAAGAAAGTGAACAAGGCCCAGTTAGGAAAAATACTAGACCAAAAACTGAAGGAGGGAGATTGAAAGACCAGACATCAAAGGCTGAGATGACCATCATGAAGTGCAGGAGAACTTTCCAGAAATCAGTAACTTGAGCTGCTACCCATTTAATCTTATCTGTTTATTATCTGGCATGAACATGTTCAGAAACTATAAGTGACAATAATTCTGTCTCAAAATTTATGAATAAATGTGACAATTTATTGGGTCTAAATTATGTGGACTTGTGACTCAATTTCTCATCTTTAACACCCAACAAAATACATATGCTAAACCACTGGCCACATTTCAACTTCTGTAGCGATAGTCTGGCTGCCTTAAGTGCACCTATGGTTTCAATATGATGTGTTATTCCCTTGGGTCTTCAGTACATTGGCCAGAACCTGAGCTGCAGCCCAGGAGCACTCAGCACAGCTCAAGATGGAAGGAATGAAGGAGAAGGAAAGGTGTCAAGGTGTCGTTAGAACCATTGCTTATCCCCGACCCTGTTCTAATCTGCACTGCGATAGACACATTGGCATAACTTATATTAGTCTGAAGACTATTCTGAGCTGCACAGACTGAAACAAGATCAAGGGTCTAATCCAGAAGCACGATTGGCATGATAGGAATACCCCCAGCTATATCTCCTTTCCTATGTCTACATGTTCTTTACCACTCAGAGGAAACAGGTTGTTAGGAGTCACTACAACAGCTCTAGAAGACCAAAGGATCCTTCACAAGAGAGTTCTTCTAGGAGCTGTCTAAGGCAGCCTTAGGATAGTTTTGTTCCAGAGAGCAGCACCAAGCTGCACTACTACAGCTGAGGATCTGGTCTACTGTGCCTTAAAGTTTTAGGTACATAAGGACAATAATATTTCTACCCTAGAGGTGCTTCAAGTCAGTAATAGGTAAAATGATTCTTGTACATACAGTCTGTAAAGTATTTCGGGTCCATGAAGGTAAACAGTGCTAAATAAACGCAGATATTACTACTGTTGTATTAAATATAATATTGTTATGCTGGGCACCACAATGAAGCTGTTGGGCATGATAGTTGTTTTCCTTTTAGGCTAAATGATGGAATAATTAAATGTCCCTTAGTTTGGCGACAGATGAAACAATGCAAAACCACCACCCAAGGACCAGAGTGGATGCAAACTGGGTAGTGCCTGGGCCATGAGGTCCAAGAGGTTTCCCAGGGTCTGACTGATTTGATTGCTGTGTAAGCGTGATAGAAGCAGATACAAGTGCACAGAGAAGGCAGCAGGGAATTAAAGGAAACCCCAGAGACAGCAAAAGAAACACTTGAAGCATGGTCCTGAGAAAAAGCTAAGACCTTTTGGAAAGAGTGCTGGCTGGAAACAGGCTTGGAACTGTGTGCAGGAAAATGGGACTTTATGTAAATTTTTTTGCAAATAATCAGAACTGCATCAAAGAAATAGCTAACTCCATCATCACTTTCTCCTCTAACGGACACGACCTGCAAGATCTCAAATACTGGCTAGCTGCTCAGGTCAAAAGAGGTTACAACAGAACAAGGAGTAATGGTCTCAAGTTGCAGTGGGGGAGGTTTAGGTTGGATATTAGGAAAAACTTTTTCACTTGGAATGTGGTGAATCACTTGAATGGGTTACCCAGGGAGGTGGTGGAATCTCCTTCCTTAGAGGTTTTTAAGGTCAGGCTTGACAGAGCCCTGGCTGGGATGATTTAGTTGGGAATTGGTCCTGCTTTGAGCAGGGGGTTGGACTAGATGACCTCCTGAGGTCCCTTCCAACCCTGATATTCTATGATTCTATGATCATTCTATGTATTAACAGGCCATGACATTCACTGTCTATACATTGACTATGCTCAACTTAAAGTATAATCGCAAAATAAAAGCCTTGTTCTTCTGTGTTATGCAATGGGAACTATTTCGGACAGCCTATGCTTTGACAGTTCCCAACAGTGCAAGTATAGACACCTGACTATCAGCTTTTCTCTTCTACAAGAGAACTGGTAAAGTGGCAAATTGCTGTATTGCTAATGATGAATAAAAACGCAGACAGTTCTTTAGGCACTGAATGCTCCAGATACAGATAGGAGATATACTACTACTATGCTTGTAAATTCCTGAAGTATTATATGCTTGAACCTCTCAGTTTCATTTGCCTGGGCAAGGTGGATTAGTTATCTGACCGGTGGGGGGAGGGAGGGGAATCAATGAGTGAATGATCAAATCATGAAAATTATTTTTTTTTATTGAGAGAAGACACTAGAAATATCGAGCCAGATCCTTAGCTGGTGTAAATCAGTGCAACTTCACTACCACAAAAAATCTGCCTCTCCCTCCCCAATAGTGCTTATTTCTATGTCTGAGTAAAACCAGCCTTCATCTGCACAAACCACTCTTCATATTCCACAAATCACCATCAGCGGAGAACCCCTGGAAAATGTGGACCATTTTCCATACCTTGGTAGCCACCTCTCCCAAATAGCCAGCATTGACACAGAAATTGAATAC